TGGTTTTGTTGACGATATATTTTCATCTTAAAAGTTTTTAGGTCCAGAGGTGTTCGGTATGTCCAGGTTAAAAACCTCGAGCCTAAAATTGTTTGAAGGAATATTTTGCTACTTTTTCATATTGTTGAATCATTTTCTTGAGCCAGTATGTGCTAAAATGACCCTTTACAGGGTTTATGAAAGTCCACCCAGCCTCTATCGCCCCCTGTGGCCAGAATATTTCACTTGCAACTTCAGACTGGAAGGCTGCTCTGTGGGACTCATAAAAAAAAATGAGCAAGTGCTGCAGTCTGGTTCCAGCACATTTCCTGCATGTTTTAGATCATGAACACAGCTGATTTGTTTAATTTAGTGATAAATCACTCCTGTAGACACAAATGAAGGCTGGGGAGACATTTCAGCTGTTAGGTTTTGCTTTTGGTTCTACAAACATTAGGTGGTGCTAAAAGCAAGCCAAAACTTCCTAGTCTCCCTTTAATGAGAAGCAAGACAATTAGGTTCTTCTGCCTGAGGGTGCTGTTCACCCAGGATCCCTCCTGCTGTGCTGGGCCGGATTTAGTCGTGCAGCCACAATAAAACTAGCCCTAAGAAGCTTCACACTTAACTAGAAACATTATTAGCCAACATGCGTGACTAAAGCAGGAATAGAAGGACCAGGAACTCAGGCCAGGTCTTTATGGGTCACACGTCTGTTCTAATTTACGGTCGTACTCCAATAAGGTCTCTCCAAGTGTTTTACATTTAATGGGACACAAAATCCATCTGAGCACCAAAGAAGGTTTTTACATAGTTTATTATTTAATAATAATTGATTTAAAGTGACTAATTTGGAAATAAAAGTAATATTTCAAATTTAACTCGACCTATATGACACACAGCAGTTGTGCCAGTAAAATTATTTTAACAGAGAAATCTGATGCTGTCATGCTTTTATTTATACTTCTTTACAAACAACTGATTAATAAGTTTATTGTAATCAAATGGCAAACGTCCGTTTTTGCATTAGTAACTCGTACACTAGTGTTCTCCTAAGAATACTTGATATTTAAGAGCTCAAACTTCTAACCCCTTCACCTTGAACACATCCCTGTGGCGTGAAAGGGAAAAGGATGAAACTAGATCCATCTTTAATCTTACTCGATCATCAGAATCTGTTTTTTTTTTGTTCAAAATGAAAGTAGCAATTGAAGCTTCCAGCATTTTAGTATTCCTTGAACATTCCAACTGAAAAAAATTAACTCCAGGTCTCCTCTTCTTCGATGGTCTCTCTGGATTCAAATCCTCCCCGACCACAAAGATGACTTATAAAATGAAAAGACAAGAACGAGGCAACGAGAACAGCTCCCCCACAGTTCAAACAGGATTTATCATGCCACCTAAATTGGTTTTCGTCACAACTGGCTGTCAGAGTTTGTGGGTTTGAGTGCGTCAGATTTAACACAGCTCCCTTTTCAGTGGCTGTGGGCTGCAGCTTGCCACCCACACACCCTGCTGGGGAACAACCATCTCCTTCACAGCCCCTTCAGCAGATCGACAACACGCTTCGTCTCAAAATCATTTCCTCCAGAGTTGAGCGGGGATTTATGGCCTGCAGCATCTGATTGGTCAATACATGAAGAGGACTATTAAAGAAAATACAGAAATGCAGTCGCTTGACTGGAACAATAACCTGAGGGACAGCGAGGTAACTAAAGCTTCTCTGAGAAGAGAGGTGTGGCATGTACACTGGAAACCAATACTTGATGTGCCTGGAGACAATGTCATATTTCTGCTTCCCTGCACCACTGACCAACACAGGAGCCCCCCACTGCAGGTCATCACAAACTGACAGATCTGCACTGCAAGCAAAAGGACCAAGGCGGCTTTTCTCAGGCCGATGAGAATTATGAACACAGGATGTGAGCATCTGAACAGACGTCAAAAGGCCTCATTTATTTGTGAAGCTGTTTAACAGGATAAAATATTTCTCTGCCTGAAATTCTTTGATGCAGCAAATGGAGAAGGAGAACTTTTAAACCTAATTAACTCCTCAGACAAAGGAATTTTTCACTCACCATCTAAAATGTGACTAATGCAGACCTTTGCACCACTTTATGGCTTGGTTTTAATTTATGCCACCTCCTAAACAGCAGTCGCACACTGCGTCTCCTTTGTGTAGCGCCAGCTTTATGACCGGGGGGATCTCAGTGCAAGAAAAGAGCCAGTGTCATGCGGTCACAAGGCATTTTACTCAGACAAAAAGATTGTGTCAGCACTTTCTGCCAGGGAGCGAGAGGCCAGCGTTCTGAGCTGTTGGCCTCTTTTGCAAAAGAGAGCCAGGGTTTAATGGGGCTACTCTTCCACTCCATTAGCCAGCTAGCATTTTACAGGCCACAGATGTGTACATGTGAGCCAGCGAGTGTCACTCTGCATACCTCGCTGCATTCTGGGAGCCACAATCCCAGTAACAGCTGACAAAAGCTGCTCGTCTGCAGCTCCACGCTTTACAAACTAAACCCATTATCATGCACATGGGGGAAGCAACATTTAACCCTCAGGTTACAGAAGTTGATAACTGATTTAGTTTTTTACCTCTCTCAAAATTTGCTCTCGATATTATCTTTCATCAGACTATGGCTACGTCTGAACACGTCTCTTTGACTCTGGATCAATTTCAGACCCAACCATTGTACGGCTGGCTAGCCACGCAGTAATTGAAATGGCCCCAAGCTAACGCATCTACAACAGTTGCAATGCTTCTTAAAATATAATACCCGTTTTGACTGACAGCTTCATTAGATGACAGCCTTTCCACCACACATAGTGTTAAATACCCAATGAAACCAGAAATAAGCATCCCAAAACTAGTCCTTAGTTTTAAATTAACACTCGAGGTACATCCGGAATAGTTTTGCAGAATAAAAATAAATGTTTCAACTTTCTTCAATATATCTGGATAGTAATTAAAGATGTATTTCTGATCATCTAAGTAAGGCCAAAGCACCTACTTTTAGGCGTAATAAAGACCAAAAGAAAGGTTAAACTTAAACCAGTGGCTAATTAAGATCACCATAGCAACCATCCCCGGACACAATTGTATTAGTGGGAGTAAGAGAGGTTTGTTTGAAAATGTTATGAAAAGTTTAGACATTAGCATTTCAAACATTTTATTGTAAAATCTCCACGGCTCATGAAACTAAAACTATGGCCGCGCAAAAGCCACAAAACACAACATAATGACAGTTTAGGCATCAAGTCCACCATCTGAATGAAGTTTCTATCGTTAAGTCTAGCTGAACGTTGAGTTACACCAGTGGTTCCCAACCTGGGGTCTGTGACCCCCAAAAGGGGTCCCCACAAGATTGCAGCTGGTCCCAAAAATTCTGTCTATGCTGAGGTTGTGATGTTACCAAGACTTTATTTGTAAAATAAAATTCCAACATCACAGCCAATAGCATAATCACGACTCTGTAAGAGGCATAGCTCTTTACGGCTGCATAATTACTTACTTTTAATTGTGTGCATGCAGGTAGGAGTTGGGGGACCCTGGCTATTCTTGGACACAGGACATGTGGTCCTCATAACAAAGGTTGGGAACCACTGATCTACACCATGACATGACACAGCACACTTCCAGACTGAACCACAGGCTCTGATTTATGGGTATTTCCCAAAGCTGTAGGAGGAGAGATGCAACAGGAATAAGTTGTGAGTGAAACGACAGATTACAGCAATTAAACAGGAAAACAGGTGGAAGTTTAGCATACTTATCTGTGTATTCTGCATGATGTAACTTGTGTGCTTTAAAAACAGAGCATCAACTATTTGTTCACTGTAGGGCTGTAGCGAAGCCTCGACGAAGTCGACGGCTCGATTCTAAAAATTTGTCGACGTCAGATCCGGAAGTCGACGCACCGCGCCCACTTGTTGCATCCCCAGGAGTTTGTAAATAGAAGAGGAATCTGCCTGTTTTTCCTCTAGTTCGCCCTCTTCTCCGCCTTCACTAACATCTCCGCCAAATACCGAAGACCCGGAACAACGTCCGTCCACTACTAGATTATTTTCCTGTTTTGCCCCTTCGTCTCCCGGCAACGGACAACAACTTCCGGGGTCAGATGCGCTGCTTCGTGTCTATCGCAGATGTATAAAATCACCGGGAGCGCTTCTCCCTTCATTAAGGAGCTTCTTTCAGACATGAGGAGAGCTGTTTTGGTGGTAGCAGTCTCTCCTCCGTGCTGGTCTGTTTGCTGCTGGGTGTTTTTGGTTTATTTAAACTTGGTAACTTGAACTTAATGTTGGTAAAGCTACTGTTAACATCTTCGCTAACAGCTTCTTGCGTTGGGATAAGCTGTTACGTTTTGGTTTAGAGTTCATCTTTTTTGTGGTGTAGATCTCCCTTTTATTACATTTAGAGTGTTGTGGGTTTTCGGTTTAGTGTAAAATATCACCTGAGTTTGGTTTAACCCGTAAGACCACTCGCCTCACGCACATAAGTGACCAAAACAAAGCAGCATGGAGACACTCCATCTTCTACAACCTTTCAGGCAGCAGCCTGCACTCCCAAGTTCTACACGTCACCAGAACATAACCAACCGCAACACAATAAAAGCAGTGTTATACAGAATGGAAGGCCTGTAGTGTTTATTCTCTTACAGTAAGAATTTATCTATTTTTTTGAGGAATTTATTTGAGATTTTCTGGTTTTTGTTAATTGTGCAATAGAAAAATAATCATTAGATTAATTTTCTAAATAGTCATTAGAATAGTCGACTATTCGATAAAATAATCGTCAGAATAATCGTTTTAAAAATAATCGTTTACCCCCAGCCCTAGTTCACTGACATGTTTCCTTGTTCTGTTTGTGGACTACTTACAAAACTCTAGCTTAACCAAATGTCTGTTGTTATGCGCTTGTCGCTGTGTGTGGGGATCCCAGTGTGTTGCAGCAGTTGGCGGAGCTGCATCTTATGGAGTCATCTAGACATAAGTTCAAATGGCAGGAAACAGGAGCAAGGACTCACCTTGAGAAGACAAATTCAGCTTTGAGAGCGGCGAGGCGCTACATTTCACCAGTTCCTCTCCAGCAGAGATGCACAGCAGTTCTCTACAAAGGCAACCAGGCGAAAGAAAACTTTGACTTGGAGTGAAACTGACAGAGGATTTTTACTGACATGCAGCAGAAACAGTTTGACATCCAGATCCGTCTATGGTCTGTCACTGTTTTTCCTAATAAAAAAAAAGGCAACAAACAGAAGCTGGCTATTCTAAAAACACACTCCACATCGAGGCAACAAGAACTTGTTGTCACAGGAACGACCGGGACAGTTGTTGCATTCTTCAGTGGGTGGATTAGAAATAAAGTGCTGCTTTCAGACTTGTATTGCAGAGCTTCCAAGCACTCTGACTAAATGTATCATTATGTCATTAGACGGGCAGGAGAGTGGGGGGCTCAAATATCTGAGTGGGAGACACAGCGGTCATGTGAGAAACACTGAAACGAGCTAGAAGGACTGAGATGTAAAGCTGGAATTATTCCTTCTAATAAAAAATAGCTACTTAGAGTAAATACAAAACAAAGACGACTGGCTAGTGGTAACTAATATGTCTCATATTCACTCGGTACTGTAGAAAAACACAAATAACTCCACAAGAGAAGATATTGGACGGTTCGAGGAAGTTCTTATAACAGGAATGACCCCATATTTGATAAACAGCTACTACATTTTCTCATAAGAATAAACCCAGTGAATTTCTAAAAGCGTATTTGATATGTTTTCAAGTGTCTTCTTTTCCAGTTGTGTTATTGCCAAACGTATCTCAAATACCTGTTATTGCTTAGGAACTAGCAGGATCCACTGGACTGATTTTAACATAACCATGTGTATTTTCCCTGGCGATAGGGGGTAGTACACCTAAATAATTGCAAGCAAGCGGTATTTTATTTTCGAGTACGGCCTTATACCAACGGATGGCCATTAGGGTCAAAAATCCCTTGGAGCGCAGGTTTTCAATGAGTATTTCATCAGATCGTTCAACCTCCAGTAAAATTACAATTAGACTCCTTTTCATTATTGGCAATAAGCGAAGAGTGAAATGTGTAAAACAACCACTCGTTACAAATCAGTAAATGCATTTTGTCCTCATTGGCTCCCATAGAAGGAAACACTGCATCTAATACGGCCCAGAGACTTAGACCCACTCCCATGTATTTTAGACTTGATTTTTATAGTTATTTGTTAAAAAGCCGCCAATTTTTTCAACAACTGGGAATCATTTCTTTCATTTTCAACAGCATTTCTGTGAATTTTTCCAGAAATTAAAGGTAAAAACTACACATTGTGTAAACTAAATGTGCCGGAAAAGGTTTAGTTATCCATGTTTTTATCTGTTCAGACGGATAAAACTGTTTCGGGTTAAGGAAATATGGCAGAGGGCACAGAAACCTTTTTTTGTCAGATGAGTCCAGAGGGGTCACATTGATGAGGCAGCTGCCCCCCAAAGAGATGTTGATTAAAAGAGAAAAAGGGTAAGAACTCCTTACGGTGACATTCGTCTGGTTTACTACAAGTCAGATTTTTTTTTCCTGAAAGCTCTGGCACTCAACATAAAAATAATCCACAGAAATCTCATCTGATGAAGCGCTGAAATCTTAATCATGTTACGTGGTTCTCATTTGTCCACTGGGTGTTTGCAATATGTGAAAACACCAAAATGAAACTAATTATGTGTTGTACACTCTCAGTCCTCCATTAAAGTGATGAATGCGGGATATAGGCCTTTCCTCTCATCTACTTTGGGAGGACCAAGGCTATTTAAGCTTTCATGGAGTACAAATGTGTTTGTTAAGGATGAATCGTCACATGACGAGAAACCAACTGTTCCGTCCAATGTGGAAAACAGACACTGAGTGAAATTAGCCTGAATGTTCAGAACATATGGTCCTTCTGCCCTGACTGGGGTTTGTGTTTGCAGAAAGGAGATCAAATGTATTTCTTGTTGGTTGAATAGAATGGGTATTGAGTTACAAAAATACATGTGTAGATGAACAACAACGTGTAGTCACATTTTAATGCTAATGTCACAGTGTTTCTTTGATTACTTTTGAATTGTTATCCATGTTTATTTGTGAAAGAAATTTCAAAGAAGTCGTCTTCTTCAAACACATACAATGAGCTATTTATAGATCCATCTTTACAGCAATTTCCTGGGATGTCAAAAGTTAGAAAAAGTTTATTATGTTATTTTCCCCTTTCCGTTTTATGCAGGCATTCTCATTTCAGTGCATTGTTACAGAACATTAAGCACATTTTCACACCTGTAGTTCAGTTACTCTGTTTAAATCAGCTGATACAGTTTATTTATTTCACACTGGTAAGATTGACTGAGGGCGGGGCTTAGGGATGGACAATATATATTGATCAATAAACGTGGTTCAATAGAAAAAAAATTGGATAAAATCTTCAATAAAAGTTTCATTGTTCAATATGTAGAGGAGATGTTCTTACATTTAATTAGAAACCATAGAATGTGAAATATCACGAAGTATGAAATCTCACTTTAATGGATCTTTAAGAAAATTTAATTCAGAAGATCGGATCTTTTTATTGCAGGGATTGAGCAACACTTCGTATTAGGGATGGGTACCTTTGACATTTGAATCGATCCGGTACTAATTCCCGGTACCTACGAGTCGATACCGGTACTTAACGGTACCAATTTTCGATACTTTTGAGTGTTTATTATTTTAATTCTCTTTTATAATTAAATATATATTTTTCTCAATATATAACCATATTTGGTAAATATCACGATAAATAACATACAAGTTTGTATTTTAACATCGTCCTTGTAGTTTTATAAGCTGATAATTAAACTGAAGCAAACATCTTTACTGTGAACTAAATTTACTGTGTATCTTCATTCCTTTTGCCGTCCTTTTTCATTTGATTTTTCCTACTGGGAAGTTAGAATTTCCGAGGAGAAAGCGAACGCACCATTAGCTGATAACAACGGTGGCAATGGAAGCTAACATATCAAGCTAACGTTATCTTTAACAGTTTATTTAGCTGCTGGAGCAGATTAAAACGATGATGCCTCAAACTTAGATCGTTGTCACTGGTTTTACCTTCACCCAATCACCCGTTGCATTTAGTAAAGTAAAGCCAAACTTTAGAGCGCGTTCATGTTCTTCTAGTCGGAAATTCGGAGTTCCGAGGAGAAAGCGAACGCACCATTAGCGAAACGGAAGCTAACAAATCAAGGTAACGTTATCTTAAACATTTTATTTACCTACTGGAGCAGATTAAGATGAGGATGTCTCACTTAGATCGTTGTCTGTCGCTAGTTTCATCACCCAGTTACCCATCACATTTAGTGAAGTGGACCCAAGCTTTAGCGTGCGTTCTTTCTACCATGCTTGCTCTGTTTACAACGGGCTCGCAGGGACCGGCGACATAACGCTCTTGCGCATGCGCAACTGTCTTGGCAGTACCGAAACGAGGCACCGTTTGAAATGACGTGAATCGGTGTTCGGTCGGTACTATGGAATTCGGTCGGTACCTTAAAAAGTACCAAATTCGGTACTCATCCCTACTTCGTATCAACTCCAAGAAAGAGAGAGAGAGTCAGGTTTAAAAAGTTAAAAGATTTATTACTAAACAAATTAAACAAGAGTCTAACTTTAAACACTAGGTGTATGGTGTAACTAAGGTGAAATAAGACTGAGGATGGGTTATGTGTGAAATATGTTCAGAATCAGCAAATCCGGAGAAACGATTAGTTCTGATGGGAGTGAAGATGATGTTTCGCTCTAAGCTTTGGTTTGGAGATTATAACACATTGACATGCCATTCTGTCGGTCTGCGTACCCTTGGCGGAAGTCCCCATTAGATCAGGAATGTCGAGGTCAAGCTTGACCTCCTCTGGAACCGAAGCCTGTAGATATGCAGTGGTTGCAGACCAGACCAGTCTTGAGATACTTCCAGGTCACAACAGTTTTATTGGCATCTGCGAGACCCTGAAGGGTCATGATGGTTCAGCTTTTATTCTGAAGGGACCGTTGCAGCAGGTGGAACATGCAACAGATTTATTCCAGCTTGTCGTTGGTTCTTTCAGCTTTAAGAGGAAAGTTATGGATTGACCCCTCCGACAACTTCTCTAGAACGCTTTGAACTGAAGTTAAGATGACGTGGGCATAGTTTTATAATTTGGATGTTTTGATTTACGGTCGAATCAAAAAAGGACAATAAGAGGGGATGTACCAAGCACCAACAAAACCACGCCTTGCGTCAGATCTGGAAGGTTCTGATTGGATCAGAAAAAGGAAATGTGTCACGTGATCTTAGCATTAAGTGTGATCAGTCTCTAGTGGAAATATTTAAAGTTATATTACTTATTAAAAACTACTAATCATAACATTGTCATTTCACAGATTGGTTCACATTTTATTATTGGACTAACAGTTTGTTTGATTAGCTTATTAAAAATAGAGTTCTGATTTATTAAAAAGAAAGTGTTTGTCATCTTCTTCTCTTGAGTTGGAAAATAAGAAACAGTTCAGAAGCAGAGCATGAGACCTTGACCCATCCTTGTAGATTAGGTTTGTGTCAGAAACCTCTGGTTTTGTTTTGAGCAGAGCAAAACAGAGCAGGGCCTTTTAGGTCAGAAATGGACAATTCATCACGCTACACATTATAGCCTATTGGATAGCTTCAAACTAGAGTCATTACTTATACCCAACCAACCTATCAAAAACACAGACCCAAGCACACTCTGTCACTAAGCCCTCTGAGCCTGCTAGTCTTAAACATGGTTTAACCCCCTCTACCTAACCTGTTTTTGAATAATTTGAACTCCTCTGTGTTTTTGAGTTACAGCTGATAAATCTAGTCATCTGTCTAATAGGGCTGGGCGATATGGCCTAAAATCAATAACACGATATATTGAGGATTTCACCTCGATAATGATAAATGGACGATAACTACAGGTTTGCACAGAAACAAAAATTGTTCACTAGATGGGGCTGTCACATGTATGACGTTGAGTCACATGTTTATGTGACTCAAGGTGGTACAGCTTCTTAAAGGGACATGAACGTTACCAACC